AGCGTAACAAAACATACGCTTTAAGTATTCAAGCACATTCAAGCTTCAATTCATATCAACACTGTTGAAAAAACTGTTTCTTTCATAATGATGAAAATCCACTAAAATGTATAAATCATTCATGACAAATGACCTTATTAGTCTAAGTATGGCCTCGATTCTTAGCATTTGCTTTAAAACTGTCGCCTCTGCTGTTTCACTCGTACAGAGAAGGTACAAAGCCCATGTAAGACGCGGATTGCACATTTTACATGTACCTTGTAGCCTGTTTGAATCATTTGCTGCAGAGTCAAAAAGTTAAATTGAAGTCGTTTTCAAACGCCATCTTTTTAAATGTACAGTTTGTCAGCCACTCTGATCAATTGTTCTGCGTCCTTGAAGAGAGGATCAAGCAAAACGAGCTGAAGAGAAAAGTCCTATTCTACTTCACCAAATTCCAAGCGGCCATCCTTGCCTATATATGGCTATGGGTAGGTAACAGGTCTACTGCTACTTTTCGTTTGTATGTTTGTATGTTTTTACTACCTAAAAAGTGAGAACGTGGTATAAAATTCATGAGCATAACAAAAGAGGGTAGTAATTTGTAATCGATAGCATAACAAAAGAGAGTAGTAAATTGAGCGTGAGTAGAACACACGAGAATATGGGGTAAGAGAGGCTTGTACGGGATCTTACCCCTACATTTGACAAATTTTTGTTCAGTTCAGCTGAGTTTTATTTAAAAATCGACTGCCATGTCACATACCCAAGTCAAATTTGCCAACGTTTTTCATACTTGGCATACGTAACATTCTCTATCATTAAAAACGACTTAAACAAAAAATTATGACGTTAAACTTCGTATTACAAACTGTATTTAAAATCTAATACCACTACGCAGAGTGACAATACCACTACTAAGACAGTTATTTAAAAGCTCGTGGAATGAAAGATGATCTGTGATCTATGATCTGCTTAATATGGGGCGTGCCTGTTAAATTTGCGGAGTGACACATTATACAAAATCGTGCAGAAGGTTGTCCATATCATTCAAGATATCTTAGATAGTACGTAGTGTGACCATGTCTCTTTTCAAAGATAGAGAAGGCAAAACTTCAAGAGTATTCAAAAGGCTGTTAGGCAGGCCTCTCCAGACCGGACTTGC